CACTCACCCATGCACACACTCACCCATGCACACACTCACCCATGCACACACTCGCCCGTGTGCACACACCCACAGGCTGCCCAAATGCATGGTGCACACAAATGTAGCCTTTCCCACTTGAGTTTATCTGACGGCAGTGCCCCACAAGCTCTGGTCTGCAGTCTGCTGTTCTCCCCTGAACGTTACCTATTAGAGCTATTTTTGCGTGGGAACGGAGAGAACTTCCCCCTGGTTCACAGCCGCACACAGAGCTCCCTTGTTCAGACAGCCATCCTTTCCCAGGCCTACCGATGGGCATTTAGGGATTTTCCAATATCTCGCTGCTGTAATCAGAGTGAGTAGCCTGGTACCTGAGTCACTGGGCAAGGAGGTTAGAGTATCGATAAGTCACATTCCCGGAAGGGGCACAGCTGGTTCAAAGGTGTGTGCACATTGGCAGATGGCCCTGCGCAGGGCCGTGCAGTTACCCAGTGCCATGAGCGGGAGCGCTGGGTGGGCCCCAGCCCCGCAATGCAGTGTTGTCACTTGCCTGAGTTTGGGCCACCTAGTGAGCCACAGTCCCTTCCTGCAGACCTCTTGAACTGCACTCCCCTCCTCCCAGGCCATCCTGTCAGGAAGCAGCACCCTGACCCCCCAGGCGTGGTCCCCCTGGCTGCGTTAGGGTCTTGTCGATGGCTCAGGGCATTGTTCTTTCCTCACCCCTGCCTAGGAGCTGGCCTCCTCTCCCTCCACATCACCGACCCCAATATCTGCACCCTGGGCAACCCCAGCCCCTGCTGCAGCCTCCTGGCCTGCCCATGCCCGTCATGCGGCGGCCAGTAGCACCTTCTCAAGTCATGACCATATATTTTATCAGCCCCTAATTGCCTCTTCAAAACCCTCCAATGTCTTCATTTTCCTTTGTGTTAATGTTCACATGAGGGTATCTTTCCCATTGATTTTTAGAGACAGTGGAAGGAAGAGGAGGGGAGAGAGAGAAACATTCATGTGAGTGTGACACATTAATTGGTTTCCTTCCTCATGTGCCCCAACTGGGGCTGGGGATTGAACCTGCAACCCAGGTACGTGCCCTTGACCGGGAATCGAACCTGAGACCCTCTGGTCCACGGGCTAATGCTCTAACCGCTGAGCCACCCAACCAGGGAGCCCTCCAGTGCTTTTCCTGTACAGCTGAAGTGAACCCCAACTCCTGCCCCAGCTAAGGCCCTGGGAGCCCTGTGATCCACACCCGCCCCCGAGCCCTACACCCCTCCCAGCCCTCCCCCTGTCCCCTCCTCCTCCCCTCCCCCTCCCCAGCAGGCTCTTGCTCCACCACTGCCTTCACCACCCAGCCTGAGCTCTCTCTCTTTTTGAAACAGGAACCCTTCCCACTCCCTGTCCTGGGCTTTGCCCAGGTGGTTTCCTCCCCTGCACTGTTCCTTCCAGCTTGGGGTCCCCAACCAATTGTCTCCTCCCCAGTGAGCTCTCCTCAGTGCCACAGAGCTGCCTGTCACCTGGCCTCCTCACCAAGCGAACCTTCCCTGCTCATGGGCTGGAGCTACTGCTCTACTGGCTGCGGTTTCTGTGGGCCTCCAGGGATGTCAGCCCTCAGAGTGGGGGCCACCTTCCCCACTGCCCTCCCCCCGCAGGGATGGAGGACCCCATCAACCTTGTCCCACAGCAGACTGAGGTCCCCTTCCCGTCCACAGGAGTGGTGGGGCGGGGGCCCCGGGTCCTTGTACAGAGGAGCAGGTGGCCGCAGAGGGCCCTGTGCCCTCTCCCCCCTGCTGGTGACTCACTCCTCCACTCTGAGGCGCATTTCCCTGTGGCACGGACAACTGGGAAGTTACTAATGTGGAACCCTTGGCGGTGGCAGGGACTAAGGCGGAACCTCAGCCCTTTCCCCGACCTGGTGACAGGAATAGCAGGAACCGTGGGTGCCGCCCATGTCCCTTCCTCCCTGTCCCAGCATGGTGGGTGGGGGTGGCCCGGAGAGTCACCCACCCATCCCTGTCTCTACTGCTGTCCCCTGTGTTCCAAGGACCCCCCTGTGTAGCAAGGCCGGCACTTTGGGGTTTATGTACACGTCTGCCCCCATCTGAGATGTTGACATAAGAAATGTCCAAAAACATCCAAACCTGTACACATTTTTACGAGTTTATTTGAGCCAAACTGATGGAAATTGCCAGGAAGCAAGATCTCAGCGGGCTGAGAAAAATGCTCCGGACCGTGGCGGTCTGACCACTCACGTTATACATCAGAATCGGAGGAGACCTGAGGGGGTCACAGGATCCCACGGGTGTAGCTCAGGGGGGCGGGAGAAAGCAAGGCGGGAACTCTCTGGGATTGGATGAAAAGTAAAGTGACAGACACACTTCTTTCATGGGGAAGGGGACAGACAGTTATTTACGGCACAGGGAGATGGTGTGTGGGGACAGGATGCACGAGGGTCCGTGGTCTCTGCGCTGGTGGGAGGGTGAGCCCCGAGGGGTCAGGACGTGGAGATCACTCTGACCTTTCAGAGGTATGTTATCTTAGACGCCAAAAGTCAACACACAGGCCTAGGTAAGGTCAAGACGGACCCAAAGGAAGATGCCGGCCCAGGACCTGCCTACCCTGCATGACCCACTTTAGTCAGGAAGTTTGAATTTCAGACCACCCGGTGTGGTTCCCTCCGGTCTCTGAGTCTGCAAGGAGGCCACGCAGGCCTCCCCCGAGCTGAGGTGCGGTGTGTGGCCCCTTCTCCGTGCAGAGACTTCCTTCTGGCCCTGGGCTCTCGTCGTCCTGCACCCCAGGAGGTGCCATGGGGAGGGTGTCACTGTGGCCCCCCTTCCTGCTCCCACTCCGTGCTCCTCTGGGAGGGTGACCCAGGAAACCAAGCACAGGGACTGCAGCTCCTGGGAGGCTCCATGGGGCCCAGGCCCACGCACAGGTGCCATGGGGGCGGGCGCCTCACCGGGCCTTCCGGGGCTGCCATTCCTCTCCCTCCTTGCTCCTCACTGCACTGTGGGCTGTGCCCCATCCCTATGGCCCCACAGACAGACCTCACCAGAAAGGGCCTCCCCACCCCCCTCCAGCCCCGTCCCTGACCTAGGCTGCTAGCATCCAGACCTTTTCTGAAGGACCCCAGACCCCACAGGTGGTGCCTGGCCCACCCCCTCTGTGGAATGAACTGGTCAAGGTACCTCCCCCGACCCCTCACACCCTTTCCTTCCCCAAATCCTGGGACAGGGTAGGAGTGCTGAGGAAAACCCCTAGTAACCTCAAAGGAACCTTATTTCCTTTTGATCTGCCCTGTTTTTTTCCTTTGACTCCAACTGGCCTCATCTAGTGCCCTGCCTCACCCACCTCGCTCTCCCTTGCTTAATCATTAAGCCCTTGGGACAGTGCAGTTCTGGCCAGCACCCAGGAGTCTTGGAAACAAAGCCTCGGGCCTGTTGACCACAGAGACAGAGACTGGTCAAACTAGAGATAATGCCTAGGCCTCCGTCGTGTCTCTCTCCAGAAGGACCGCCCCCTGCATCTTTGCGAAGCCAGGGCTGCCGTGAGGACCAGAGGCACGGACCAGCCACACCCCGCTCTGGCCACGGGGCGCCAGGTCTCGGAGCACGAGCTACCTGTGACTCGGGCATGGCGCCATCTCCTTAACAAATCCGTGCTTTCTGGGCGGCAAACCCGCTTGTGTCTTATGGGCCCTGATGTGCGAAGGCGAACGAACCCCTTCAGTTCAGCAACACCCTCCCTGGTGAGCTGGGGCCGTCTGTTCATAGACCATGCAGCTCCTCTGTTCAAGGTCAATTCCAGAAATACAACAGCAACTTCCCACTGAGCCTCTGCGTGGAGTGGAAATGACTGTCCAGAGTCCCAACACCCCTCTCCATCATCTCCAGCGCAGGACTGCGGGGAGGTTCTTCCAGGGGAGGACGCTGGGGCGTGGAGGGTGGAGGAGGGGCCGTGCCCCACAGGCAGGCCCTCCCAAGGCTCACGCTCACTGGTGAGGACAGGCGGGCGGCCCTGCAGGGCTGGACTCACTGGGGGTTTGGCGCAGAGCCAGGACGACAGCCCTGCCCAGACCCAGGAGCCGCAGAAAGCCACTGATGTTCACCCCTGCTCCCCAAACAGATCACTCCACAGCCACTTCTGAAATCGGCTTTATACCAAGTTATGAAAACGCGGATCCCCTCCTGAGGGTACACATATAAAAGCAGTACTATAAAAATAATAATAATAACATCAAACATGCTAACTCTTACAAATATACAAAGGCTTTTGTGCACCATTTACAGGGGCCAGTTCCTGGCCAAGTACCTAAAAAGAGGGGGACAGACCCAAGAGCTGGCCTGGCCCTGGTGGCACCCTCAGAGGCTGAGTCACACCTGAGTCTGAACCCCCTTCTCATGTTGAAAGTGCGTTATGGGGTGGGCAGAGGACAGGGAGGTAACTGAACCCCTGTTGTCCTACAGGGCAGGGGATGAATGGAAGCTGTGGTGGGCAAAATCATGGTCCCCCAAAGATACCACACCTACTCGCTGGAACCGCTTACTGTGAGGTTGTGTGGGAAGGGGAATTAAAGTCGCAGGTGATGTTCAAGTTGCTGATCAGCTGACCTGACAAACAGGAGGAGGGTCCTGGATTAGCCCTCTGGGTGGGCCAAAGGGATCACAGGGGTCCTTAAACGTGGAAGAGGGCAGCAGGGGGGAAGGGCTACGATGTGAAAAGGCTTTGAAATGGACGGGGTCCCAAGCCAACGATGTGCGAGGGTGGCCTCTAAGAACTGGAAAAGGCTGGGAATGCCCCCTCGAGCCTCCAGAAGGAGCCTAGTCTGCCAACACCTTGGGTTTAGCCCACCAGACCTGTGTCGGAACTCTGACCTCCAGGCTGAAAAAGAAGCCTTGCTTTAAGTACTAAGTGTGCCCAGACAGTGTGGCTCAGTGGTCAAGCATGAACCCATGCACCAGAAGGTCACCGACTCAATTCCAGGTCAGGGAACATGCCCAGGTTGTAGGCCTGATCCTCAGTGGGGGGCATGCAGGAGGCAGCCAATCGATGTTCTCTTTCATCGATGTTTCTCTCTCTCTCTCAAAAATCAATAAACATTTAAACAAAACAAAACAAAAGCTACTAAGTGTGTGGAAACTTGTTACAGCAGCAGCAAAACACTAATACGGGGACGAAGGGGTCAGAGGACCCATGAAGGCACACCCTGGGCCTGGGCCTGCCTGGGGGGCAGGCTGCATCCTAGCAGACCCAAGAGGCCCTCTTCTGAGCCCGTCCTCAGGGGATGCCTGTGGGCAATCAGAGAGGGGTCAGCGTCTGCGCTACAGGGCTTGTGGGGCAATCTGGAGGGGCTTCTGATGCTGGCCATGTGCCCTCCCCTCCAGGCCCCGATAGCTCATTTTCCCTTCTTCCTCTTTCAGCTGCTTTGAGTCCACGGGCTTGCTGAGCTCAGCTCGTTGCAGCCCTGGGTGGAGGAGGCAGGGTGGGTAAGGGTTGGCCTCCGGCCCTAGGCACTCAGACCCGGCATGAGAAAGGCAGGTCTGAGGCAGACAGGCCCCATGGACGGGCCCCGTGGACAGGAGGTGACCCAGGATCTCTGACCCCTAACCACTCTACCTCCTTTATCACACACACGATCAATTGTCATTTCTCAGATGTGGCCCCTTCGGCTCTTCACAAAGGTGCTTTCGCCCCACCGGACTGGTAACAACCCAGGGCCTATTTAATTTCAGCTGCTCAGGGGCCTGCACCTTGGCCAGGGCTGGGCAGAAGCAGCAGCAGAAGGCAGGAAGCCCGTGAGGGGCTGCGAAGCCGGTGCTGGTCTGAAGTGCCCCCCAGTGGGGGTGACTGGCCCGAAGTGGGGTGTGTCCAATGCTCGCCAGGTGCTCACAAGCAGGTCAGGCCACAGGAAAAGCTAACCAACCTTTATAAGTGAAAATAGGGACTTGAAGGACTCATGAGGCCCTGTGTTGACGTCCAGGATGCTCCGGATGCTCTTGACTTCACTGCTTGACAGGTTCCCCTTGATGGCTAAGATGGCACTCAGGTGGCCTTTGCTGGCAAGGAGAACATCCTGTTAGTCCAGCCTGGTCACCAACACCTCTGCTCACAACCTTTCCCAGCTCCCCAGACTCGTGGCCTGAGCACAGCGCCCTACGGGCGACTCCCCACCCACGCAGGGCCTCACTCTCCTCCACTGAGCTCCTGTAGCACTGGCCACCTGTTCGCCCCTAGAGCGCACCGAACTCCTGCCCACTGCAGCCTCGAACTGGCTGTTCCTCCTGGAACGCTCTTCCGCACACTCTCTGGACCGCAGGCCGACGCTCTAGCCGCTGAGCCAAACCGGCCAGGGCTCTTCCGCACGCTCTCAAGACGACCAGCTCCTCTCACCCTCTAGGTCTCAGCTAAAAGGTCACCTCCCCCAGGAGGCCTTCCCAGCTCTAAAGTCAGCACCTTCTATTGGTTAAATAATCTTCACAACTTGCCGTTGTTATTTCTTTGCTGATTACCTCACTATTGCTAACCCTCAGTAGACCGACTAGAAGCTACATGAGGGAGAACTGAGACCTGGTCTGTCTTGTACTTCAATGCATTCCAGTGCCTAGAACAGAACCTGGCACCTGGCAGACCACTCGGTAATTATTGGTGGGATGGACAGATGAACGGGTGGGTGGGTAGATGGATGGATGGATGAATTGGGGGACAGATGGATGAATAGATAGATGGGTGGCCCGGCCGGTGTGGCTCAGTGGTTTGAGCATCATCCCATGGACTGAGAGGTGCCATTTCGATTCCCAGTCAGGACACATGCCCAGGTTGTGGGCTCGATCCCCAGTAGGGGGCATGCAGGAGGCAGCCAATCAATGTTTCTCTCTCATCGATGTTTCTATCTCTGTCTCCCTTCCTCTCTCTCTCTAAAAAATCAATTTAAAAAACATATTTAAAAAAATAGATAGATGGATGAATGGATGGATAGGTGAGGGTGGGTGAATGGATGGATTGGTGGATGAGTGGGGGGATAGATGGATGGCTAAATGGATGAATAAATGAATGAATGAGTGAGTGGATTATGGATAGATGAATGAGTGGATGGATGACGGATGAGTGGGTAGAGGTAGGAATGGATAGGTGAGTGGATGGATGAATGGATGGATAGATAGATGGAAGGATGAATGAGTGGGTAGATGGGTGGATGAGTGGGTAAATGGATGAGTAGGTGAGGATATGAATGCACAGTTGGATGAATGAACGGATGATGGATAGATGGATGGGTAGGGGTGGATGATGGATGGATACATGAATAGATAGGGGGTGGGTGGGTGGACGGATGGATGGATTGATGAGTGGCTAGATGGGTAGACATGTGGATGGGTGGGTAAGTGGATAGCTGAATAGCTAGATGGCTGGTTAGACCAGTAGATGGGGAGCTGGCTGCTTGTATGGGTGGGTGAATAAATGGGTGAGTGTGTAGGTAAGTGGGTTGCTGGGTGGATGAGTGCAGTGGATCAGCCAGGGGCTAAACTAGGCTAAGCTGTCAATTCAACTCAAGACCCATTCAAACTTTCTCTTCCATGTCCAAGGACTCAGCCCAGAAAAACTACTTCCCTGGCACACAAGATCCTCAGGCAGCCTCTACTCTGGTACAGGGACTCAGGGCCCAGGGCATAGATCCAAGTCCCTGAGGATCCCTCGGCTGAGTGGTGAACCCCAGCTTCATCACTGACTTGTCAAGGCCTCTAGCAAGCCCCTGGTCTCTCTGGTCTCAGTTTCCCTTCTGAGGGGCAGTATCGTAAAGGCTAAGAGTGTGGACAGTGGAGCCAGACTGCCTATATTTGTCATCTTAGCTCTCCCACTGACTCACTGGGTCACCTCGGACACGTGCCTCTAGCTGTCTGGGCCTCGTGTGTAAATCGGGGATGAAAAGCATCACCCTCTTGGTGCTGTAGTGAGAGTCAAATGAATGAGCCTCTGTGAGCCTCGCTTGATAGCCGGCAAGTCAGCCGCACTCAGCAAAGGTTAGCTGCCAGGGCGGCATTGTGTGGCCAGTATCCAAGCTCCACGCGCCCCAAAGGGGCTGACTGCAGCCGCGCAAGGCTCTGACCGCAGTGGGGATCAGCAGAGCCATACTGACTGCCCAGGTCCTGCAGTGCCCTGTTCTCACCTGAAGTCAGGGTACCAGGTAGCATAGGTGGCCACCTCGATCTTGATGGCACTGGGGTCTTGTAGGCGAATGATCTCGGCGAGCTTAGGGAGGGCTTGGTGCAGCCAGGTTGCCGGGGATCCCTGCAAGCACAGGCCTGGTTGGAGGGAGGCTGCCCCTTCTCCAGAAGGGCCCCAGGTGCCCAGGAAGATTCAGGTCAGAACTGATCGAGTTTGGAGGGGCCCAGAGGGGCAAGGGCAGCCCATCCCAGGTGACCGGGGCTTACACTCTGAGTGCAGAAGTGCTGGATGAGGTTGGCATTGGCCAGGACCTGCCTGGCCAGTTGCTGCTGCTGCTCTGCGGTCTTGAGGACCAGGCGCCGCTTGCTGAGCCGCACGATGTATTCCTTCACTAGGTGCAGGTGGACAAGCTCCATGAGCTCCTGTGCGGGCCAGGGGCAGGGTTGTGTGAGTCAGCTCCTGATGGGGACCTCACACCTCCCTGGAAGCCTCCCATCCAGGAGTTCATGGAGGGGCAGATGACAGAGCAAAGGAATGCATAGTTGTGCGTGTGTGCATGTGTTCATGGGGGTGTGCACAGACTTGTGTTAGCATGCATGCCCAGGCTGCACCCCCTGCCAGGCCCAGCCCCCAGCCCACTGCCTCCTCACCTCCCGGAAACAGTCCTGCAGTTCCCAGAACTCGGGCAGCCTTTTTTCCACGGTGGAGACGATTTCCTCCAGGGTCTGCGCAGAGGCTGCCCAGCGGGTCTGCGTGAACTTCTTGAACAGCGGCTGCAACAGGAGAAAGGCAGGATGTCTGGACCTGCCTGCAGGGAAAGGGCTGCCAGCCAGACACGCACGGACACGCACCCTGACACACAGGGTGATCCAGGGGTGAAGGGACTTAAGGATTGCCAAGGAACCAGGACAGAGATCCGGTCACTCACAGGAAGTGGCGGCAGGATGTGTACCCTTCTCCAAGGACAACCAGCTGTGGCTGAAGCAGTCGGCCTGCCCCGAGGCCTCCCCCACACCCCCCGCTTAAATAAATAAATAAATTCTTGCATAAACCAGACTTTGTGCTTGACTGGTGCCAAGTCATCCAGAGTCCGTCTGGCGTCCACCACTAGCAGACCACCCATTGCCTCCTGCTCTGGTCACTGGGTACAACGTGGGTCCCCATGTAGGACAGACACGGAACCCCTCCTATTGTTTTACAGGGACCCTCACCCTCTGCTAAAGTAACTAAGGTCTTTCTGTGGATTTCTGGGCCCCAGCAGACGTGGCTGCCAAAGGCTCTGAGCATCACAGCTGGGAGTTAGGCGTGGGGACAGGCGAGGGAAGAGAAGCCTAGGGGTGAGAAAGGCAATGTGTGTGCAAACTTAGGGACTGGGCTGAGTTTAAAGGGAGCAGGGGGCACTGAAGCTTTTCTGTGCCCTCCCAGCCCCGGGAGGTCCCTCTGAGTCCAAGCCCCAGGCTGAAGTGGTGGGGGCGAGGTCAAGGCCTCCATGGCCCCCTCGCCTGGGCAGCACCAGCCTCTCTACATCGGGCCCCACACTGTGCCTTCCACATGCCAGTCGTTGCTCCTGCTGTTCCTCCCTGCCCCTCTTACATCCCCGAAGCACTGTGCTCAGCATGGGCCCAGGGAAGGAGGCTGCAGCTACCTTCAGATCCCAGAACAGGCTCTGGAGCAGGGTGTCAAAGCCACGACTCTTGAGCTCACCCAGGGGGGCCAGGAGGTCCTGTGATGTCTGCCACTTCTGCTCCACGAATGTCCTGGAAGGACATGGAATCAGGGAGGTCACACTAGCCCTGCCCAGAGAGCCAGTTAGCCCTAGGTGAATCGTCCTAAACCACCTCAGTCTAGAACACTCAATGGTTCCCCATTCCCCGTGGGAGCAAGTCCGAGTCCTCGGGCGGGGCCCAGCCTCTCATGCCCAGCACACCCATCCTCTTCTTACTTAGGACACCAGCCTCTGCACGCCTGTGTGCTCATCTACTTAGTGGACATAAGCAGTGTACCCACGTCGCAGGGTTGTTCTAAAGATAAACTAATAAATCCTTCGCCTGAGGCCTTGACCCACCAGCACTAACTGTCCCCACTGCGCCAGGCCCTGCTCATTTCCCCACAGGCCTTACTCATGGCAATTCCACAGCTGTGCTGCAGCTGCTCCCCTCCCCCACCCAGCACATGCCTCCACCTCCCAGCTACCCCTTCTCTCCAACAGGCAGGCCCCTTCCAGCGCCCTCACCGAAAGGACAGGCAGTTGTTGATGTTGGCCATGACATTGGCCCTGTAATTTGTCAGCTGTTTGCACCTCTCCAGAAATTCATCAAAGGCTCGCTGGTAGCTGGTGAAACAGGAAGGGGCACTTGCTTGACCATCACAAACACTGGGACAATAGCAGCCACCCTAGGTTTACAGAGCACTTTCCCAGGGGTGGTCCCCCACAGCTCCGGGCGGCTAGCCCCTAAGCATCATGGGACTGACTTTGCTCCCTGAGGCCGGTGGAGCCAGGCCCTGCAGAGCTCCTGAACAGGGTGCTGGCCAGGCTCTGCTGCTTCTCTACATCTGGAAGCCTGGATGGGCCATGGGTAAATGGAGGCGTCCTCAGAGGCGAGGAGGGAGGCAGCAAGAGGCTTGGGGGGTGGAGACTGGGGGTGTCATCGGAAGGGGAGGACAGGGTCTCAGTCTCTCGTGAAGCATCCTCCTTGCAGCTGGAGGGTGCTCTGTTGGAGTTTGGCCCGGTAGAGTGGAGGCACTCAGTGTCCAGTTGGGGGGGTGCAAAGGGAGAGGGCTCTTGTTCATAATGACAGGCACTCTAGGGGCCAGAAGGGGGCAGATCTAGCTTGGATCCCCAGCTGAGGCACAGGGAGGAGGCTGCAGGGCCCCCTCTGTGATGCCCGTACACACACCCACCTTCTCAGAAATGCAGCCAGCTCCACCAGCAGCATGTGCTTCATCTGCGTGCCCAGGTCAGGTGTGATTTTCTCGGCCTTGGCCTGGCTCTGGGAGATGATCTGCAGGGGTGGGGGTAAGCTGAGCAGGGGCCCACCTGGACTAAGGCAGGGGTGGGGGTGGGAGGCATGCTGGAACAAGGGGATGGGCTCAGAGGTGGGCATGTGTGTGCACACAGGGATGGACAGTGTGGGCTCTGCACCGTGCATGGCTTGCTCACATACGGGCTGTCCGTGTGCATGAGGGGTGGGCTGTTCTACCTGGATGATGTCGATGGCCAGCTCACTGTGGCAGTGGCCATTCAGCCTTTGGGGGGCCACATCCTGCACCCAGTGCTGTGACTCCAGTTCCAGGGCTCGGGCCATCAGCTCCTTCACACTGGCCTGGGGGAAGGAGAGTCATGTCAAGGTAGCAAGGAACCCATCAGCCCTGCCCACGTGGAAGTCCCTGTCAAGCTCCCTGCCCATGTCCTGTCTGTCCCTGAGCCTCCCCTCCGTTTCCTTCCTGCCCCTCCCTGGCCCTGGCCCTGGTGCTGTCGCTGGACTCACCACCTCATTGGACAGGAACGTGGCCTCCAGCAGCCGGATCTGCTTGGGGGGCAAGAGGCTCCCCAGCTTGATCTCCTGCAGCTCACCTGCCAGCTTGGGGCTGTTGATGATGTCACTGTGGGCAGAGAGGGGCTGGAGTAAGGAAAACTGCACCCACCCAGCACCATGCCTTAGGCAAGAGCCCACTTCCTCTGCCTGAGCCTCTGCGGGCCCTGAACTCTAGTGTCTGCCCCATTGCCCCTGCATCCCACTTCTCCATCTCAGAGGATGGGGCTCCATCTATTCCATTTGGTTCAGGTCAAAAACCTTGGAAGCATTATGCCTCCTTTTACTCTCTCGCCCCCTCATCCACCCGGGCTCCAAAACATCTCCCCCCTTGATCAGCCTCCAGCCACCCCACCCCCATCTCTTGCTTGGTTTATTGCAGGAGCCTCCTCCCAGGCCTCCTTGCTCCTGCCCTTGTCCCCAACAATCGTCCACCCAGCTGGCAGAACCTGCTCGCTTCCTCCTGCAAACCTGATCCTCCTTCTCACACAAGTGAAACCCAAGCTCCCTCTGGCAGCAGCCCTGAGACCAGCCACCCACTCCCCGCCTCCTTCCCACACAGTCCCCTCAGTGCACTCCAGCCCCGAGCCCCTCTTCCCTCCCAGGCCAGCCCCGCTGCTCCCAGAGGCTGGGCCAGTCCAAGCAGGAAGGGCTGCCCAAGGGCTCCACAGAGGCGGATCCACTCACCCTTCTGGCGCCTCTGCCCCCAGGGATAGCCCAGCCCTGGCACTTCCTCAGGGGCCTTTGTCTGCCAAGAGTCTCAGGAGTGGCCCTCTCTGCCCCTTTAGAAGCCTGGACTCCATGGCCCTTTGCTTCCTACACTTCTGGCCACACAGGCCTCAACAATTCCTCCCTGAACACCCCCTCCTCAGGCTCCATGCTCAGCTGGCCTCAGTTTCCTGCTGTGCTGACCCCTGTGAGCCCCAGGCTAAAAGCCCCCCAGTCACTGGGACAGGACGGCTGACTGGCAGAGGTGTGCATGCCCAGCATTTCCTGGTGAGTCAGGATAAGCAAGAAGAAACAGGCTCAGGGCTGGCCTGTCTCTCCTGCAGCCCCTGCCCTGTGCCCACTTCCCTATGCCCTGCTGACTCCTCACCCACCACCCCACCGGGCCCTTCCTCCTGACCCACCAGCACCAACTGAGCCCACTGGCCACCCAGATGTGTCCCCAAGACCCTCAGACACTGCCCAGACAGTCTCCTCCACCAGGCTCCCTGCAGGCTTTATACTTGGGGCCGGGCCAGCCCTTAAGGAACCCCAGGCCTCCCGTGCTGGGCATTTCCACACCCAGTCTCTCCCCACCCAGCTTGTGCTCAGAGACCCATGGAGACTGGGGAAATCAGGGGATGCCTGAGGCTGTACCCACTGCTACCAGGCACCCTCCACTGGCACGGCCAGCCTCCATCCGAGGAGCTCCAGGCCTCTTGGCCAGAACCCAGCTCAGCTGTGGCCTCACTGGGTGACCCTACACAACCCACCTCTCTGTGCTTCCTGGGAGGGCCCCCATAGTTTGTTGATAAATCCAGCATTGACAAGTTCTGCACAGCTCCCAGAATGCCTCACGACTTAGCTTCAGATCTTGGAAGGTGACTCCCTTTGCCTTCTTCCCAGCCCCTTTCCCCATTAGACTGGGAGCTTGCCCTGAGCAGGGACCTTGGCTCCTGCTCCAAGCAGAACCCTATTTGGTGCATCCTCAAGGCCCACTTCCTGGACTGACCCAGGCCAGGTTAATTCCCCTGCTCTGGGCTCCCACAGTCCCTGGCCTCTTCTGCCACAGCCCTACCAGCTCTGGATTGTCACTGTCGGGCCTACCCCTTGCCCAGTTCAAGAATGAATGCAGTCCCTCCCTTTCTCTGCACCCCAGTTTCTCCAACTGCCGAATGTGGCTGAGGCCCTGGAGATGAAGGGTTCCAAGTGCAAAGCAGACCCAGCGCAGGACTCTGCCTGCACTGACCCGGCTAACCCTGCTCCCTGCCCTGGAGCCACGTCCTCCTGCAGACCAGGCCCCTCCCTGCCCACTCACTTGGGGTAGAGTTTCTGCACCCAGAGCAGCAGCATGTAGGTGTCACGGTCACACAGCTCAAACTGCGCCAAGGCCGCCAGCTGGGCCGCGATGTACCGGTGGTAGCTCTCCGCATAGGCCGCCACGACGCCGAACTCGGCGGGGAACAGCGGCTTCAGCCGCTCCACCACGGCCTCCAGGTCCTCCTTCATGGTGCGGCCCATGTACAGGAACTTGCGCTCGGCCTCTGAGAGGCCATCGGCGTACGTGGCCAGCTGGCTCAGGCGCTCCTCGGCCTCCTGCGCCACGCCCTGTCGCCAGCGCTGCAGCCAGTGCCTCGGGCGAGTGGCCACCAGAATCGAGGGCTCGGACCCCGTGGCCAAAGCGCGGCGGTCCTCGCGCTCCTGCTCGGCCAGCACGGCCAGCGCCTGGCGCAGCCGCTCAGGCGGCACTTCCAGCGGCCGGCGCAGCAGGCTGAGCACCTGGTTGCGCAGCAGCACGTACAGCGCCTCCACCTTGCTCTGGCGCTGCACCAGCTCCTCCTCGCTCGCGCCCCCCGCCGCCGCCATCGCCTGCAGCTCCCGCTCCAGCGCCATCAGCGGCTCCGCCGCCTCCAGCCGCCCACAGTCCAGGTCCGCCTTGAGCTCCTCCACTGTGATCGACCGGGGACACCGCGTTAGCGCCACCGGCAAGCGGGCGGCGGGACAGCTCCCCCCACGGCGCCCACAGGAGGGGAGGCTAAAAGCCCAAAAGGCCAAGTGACGCACCCAGAGAGGCCAGTCGGTGTACCAGACAGGAATAAAGCCTGGTCTGCCTCCTCCCTGCCCCCCAAATTAGGTAGGGGGTTCAGGTGGAAGCCAAGAGGGGAGAAACCTCCAAGCCCATGGTTCCTGCCCTCTCGCTGTGCGGGGTGAGTGGGCTAGCCGGCCTAGCTCTGACATGGACCCCAACCCCACATGGGGCCCCAGCCTACCTGTGGGCAGTGGGCCCCCCAGCCCGGGTCTGGACTCCCGCTTGTCCTCTGGCTCTGCAGAGCTGGGCTGGCCTTTCTTCTTCTTCCCTTTGGTGAAGATGCTGAACATGCTGGCCAGGCCTTTTGGCTTCTTCTTCTTTGAAGCATCTTCCTCATCCCTCTCCTGTGCTACCTCAGCCTCCAGGGGTGGCACCAGGTCCTCAGAGGAGGTCTCCGACATGGAGGCCTCTGACTCCACCTCTGATGTGGAGCGCAACTTCTGGGGGCTTCCAGGGAAGTCAGGGGCCCCTGGCATAGGCCGCTGGCCTGCCAGGCCTTGAAAGGTCATCATCTTCAGCATCACCCTGGCTCAGACCTGCAGGTGGTCAAGGGGAGGGGGCATGACAAGGTCAGCAGTCACAGCACACAGGCGTGGTGGCAGCACTAAGTTGCTTGATCAGTTGTCACCAGTATGACCACCAGGGCTCTGGCCTTCTCCTGGCCCACATGGGCACCGACAGCTCAGCTCCCTCCATGGACACTAGTTCTCAGTACCCACAGCTCCTTTTCCCACAGAATCACCAGAGCAGGGAAGGAGCTGAGGACGCCAAGCCTCCCAGGTAGAGGGGCCTCGGCTTCATTGGGCAAATGCCTTTTGACGGCCCACCCTCTAGGCAGGGGACTGCAGGGCATGAGTACACCCTGGATCCCACAAAGCCCTGGGGAAAGAGACAAGAGCGTGGGCTGTGGTCCCACTGCAGAGCAAGAACAGAGGTCCAGAAAGTCACATAGCAGCGAAGGCTGGGCTGAGGCTGCGATTCAGCCATCACACCCTCCATCTTGCTTGGCTCTTCTCTGAGCTTGTCTGGCTGCGGGGTCCCAGAGGGACTCTGTGAGCAGAAACATGGCTGCTCCTGTTGGGACCATGAGGCAAGCAGAGCCTGACCCATCTATCCTGGCCTTGGGGCTCAGTCTATGGAGACCATAGCACCCCCCAAACTCCAGTGGGTGGAAAAAGATTTGGGAGAGCCTCTCACACATGGTGGGGACAAGGGCCCAATGAGACCCATGGCTGCCTTCCGTCACAGTTACTCAGACTGGGAACCCAGGCTTCCTGGCTCCTGCTTCTCCCTACCTACTCCCAAATGGGGTGACATCATCATCACAACAGCTTCCCATCTCTTCCTCAATTCCATCCAGGAGGGGTGTTATTTTCCTCATCTCACAAGTCTGACTCAGAGATTTAAAAATGCCCCTATTGTCACCCTGGCTGGTTTGGCTAAGTAGTTAGAGTGTCGGGCCACAGACCAGAGAGTCCTGGGTTCGGTTCCTGCTAAGGGCATGTACCTCGGCCCCGGTATGGGTCTTGTGGGTGGCAACCAGTTGATGTGTGTCTCTCACATAGATGTTTCTCTCTCTCTCTTCCCCACTCTCTCCCTCCCGCTCTATCAGGAGATAAATGCAAAAATGTCCTTGGGTGAGGATAAAAAGAAAAAAGAGGTCTTCTGGTCAAGATGGTGCGTAGATAAATGCAGCATGTATCTTCCCACAACCACGTCAAAGTTACAACTAAACTACAGAACAACATCATTCAAAACTGCCTGAAATCGCGCTGAATGGAAGCCCTACAACTACGGAATTAAAGCAGCAGCCACATCGAGACTGGTAGGAGGGGCGGAGGCAGATGGGCTGGCCCCACACCCACGTGTGGCGGATACAAATCAGGAGGACACCTCGGCTGGGAAGGTCCTCCCTGAGGAGTGAGGGGTCCCCGTCCCACACCAGGCGCCCCGCTCAGGGTCCCAGTGCCAGGAAGAGAATCCCCATAACTTCTGGTTGTAAAACCAGTGGGAACTGAGGCTCAGGGAGGCTGAGGCACTGGAGCCCCAGGCAGCTCCTTAAAGGTCCCGCGCATGGACTTATCGGACTCTCTCCCTCTAAGCTTGGAGAGGAGGCAGCTCGAGGGCGCCAGAGACATACAGGGAAGAACTGAGCTGTTTGGCATTGGAGTGAGGGCTTTCTCCGGGGAAAAACATGTTGTCAGAGGCCTTTGTTCCTTTGGTGAGCCCTTCCCTGGGGCGGCAGACAGTCCCCATATCTGGGACTCCAGCAACCTGGCTCACACTGTTGGCCCCACCCGGCCCTGGTGATTTCCTGAGGCCCCGCCTCACCCAACTTTCAGGCCCACCCAAACTGTTGCCAGTTGCTTAACCATAGGACTGGCCTGTCTTGGATCCTGCTTCAGGTTTTCCTAAATGCTCTCAAACAAGCAGCATCTGGTCTCAGCTAGCCCCATACCTCTCGTTAAGTAATACATAGAAACAAACACAGGGCGGCAGCCAAAATGAGGAGACAAAGAAACAGTCCCAAATGAAAGAACAGAACAAAACCCCAGGAAAAGAACTAAGCGAAATGGAGATAAGCAACCTAACAGATGCTGAGTTCAAAATACTGCTTATAAGATGCTCAATGAACTTAGTGAGAACCTCAGTGAACTTAGTGAGGGCCTCAAGAGCATAAAAAAGGACCAGTCAAAAATGAAGGAGGCACTAACTGAAATAAAGAATAATTTAGACAGCCCTGGCCAGTTTGGCTCAGCGGTTAGAGCGTTGGCCTGTGGTCCAGAGAGACCCGGGTTCGGTTCCCGCTAAGGGCATGTACCTCGGTTGCAGTTTGTCCCCGGCTCTGGTTGGGTCGTGTGGGTGGCAACCACTTGATGTGTCCCTTTCACGTCGATGTTTCTTTCTCTCTCTCTCCCTCCCACTCTATCTGAACAAAATATAAAAAAAAAAAAAACCCAAAGAATAATTTACACAGATTCAATAGTAGAGTAGGTAAAGCCAAGAAGTAAACCATCGATTTGGAATATAAGGAAGCAAAAAACACCCAATCAGAACAGCAATAAGAAAAAAAAGAATAAAAAATAATTAGGATAGTGTAAGGAGCCTCTGGGACAACTTCAAGCGTGCCAACATTCGCATCTTGGGGGTGCCAGAAGGAGAAGAGAGAGAACAAGAAATGAAAAACCTATTTGAAACAGTAATGGCAGAAAACTTCCCTAACTTGGTGAAGGAAACAGACATACAAGTCCAGGAAGCACAGAGAGACCCAAACAAGGTGAACCCCAAGAGGCCCACACCAAGACACATCATCATCAAAATGCAAAAGGTTCAAGACAAAGAGCAAGAGAAAAGCAGATAATTACCTATAAGAGAGTTCCCATAAGACTGTCAGCTGATTTCTCAAAAGAAACTTTGCAGGCCAGAAGGGAGTGGCAGAAATATTCAGAGTGATGAAAAGCAAGAACCTACAACTAAGATTACTCTATCCTGCAAAGCTGTCATTTAGAATCGATGGCCATATAAAGACTTTCCCAGACAAGAAAAAGTTAAAGAAGTTCATCACCACCAAACTGTTATTACATGAAATGCTGAAGGGTCTTTTTGAAGAAAAAGATAAAATATATGAACAAACAAAATGGCAATGAATATATATCTATTGACAATTGAATCTACAAACAAAATGAACAGGCAGAACAGAAGCATTCTCATAGATACGGAGAACATTTTGTTGGTTACTGGATGGGAGGGGGGTTGGGGGAATGGGTGAAAAAGGTGAAGGGATTAAGAAGTACAAATTAGTTGCTAGACTAACAAACACCAAAGGGAAGGGGGTTGGGGAGTGGGAAGAAATAAACCAAAAAACTTATATGTAACCAATGGACACAGACAATAGTGTGGGAAAAGGCAGGAGGGGGGTGGGAGTGGGGAGGAAGGGGTCAATGGGGGAAAAATGAGGAACATCTGTAATACATTCAACAATAAAGATAAAAAAAAAAAAAAAAAGAAAAGAAAAAGAAAAAAAGAAAATGCCCCTATTGTCAAGAGCTTGAACTTGGAACTCATCACCTGCCCCTGGGTTCCCCTGCCTGTGTCTCCCACAACTTGCAAGCTGCGTTCAGAAATGCAGGATCCCCTTGTGCCCAGCAGCACCCTTCAAGCACCTTGACCATTATCAGAGCAAGATCAGTGGAGGGGAATATGGTGAATCTCAAGGGAGCAAACAGGGCACAGCTGAAAATGGGGAGCAGGCAGGGCCACATCTCCCTGGTAACTGGGGTGACCCATAACCATGGTGCCTTCTCTACCACCCAAGAGTAAATATACCAAGTCATGACACAAGCAACATGATGACTTTGATTCATCCCTGCAGCAGCCCCGCCAAGCAAGTGGGATGATCCACCATCCAGAAGGAGAAACTGAAGTGTGTGTGATGGGAGAGGCGTGCTTCCCCCAAACACACAGTGGGCACAGAGGCTCAGATTAGGCCTGTCAGGCTTTCCAGAGCCCCTGCTGCCTCCCCATCATCCCAGCTACCTAGTCCCATTCCCCCTGAGGGCTGCTCATCCCAAGCCCCTGAGCTCATCATACTCTCAATGACTTCACCAGGTGCCCTGGGCAGGGTCCTACAGTTGCTTCCTGTGCCATTTGGCCTGGCAGTTCCACTCCAGAACCAAGCAGGGGTTGCCTAGGGAGCCCCCAAACCAAGTGTGAGGCCACTGGGCACTTCTGCCTTCCCCACCACTGCCCCAGCGTCCCCTCCCAATCCATTCCATTTTCACGCCATGCACCCATAGGAGCTAGTCTGGCCAGCTGGGGCCTGGCCCCACCTCTGTCTTCCTGCTAGAATGAGGGAGAGGGTCATTCTGACCAGCAGGGCTGCCACCAGCCTCACTTCTGCCCTCAGTGACCCTCCACCTGCTTGGTCCCCACACATGCTAGGCTCCACCCGACCTCCAGAACTTGCTCTGCCAGGTCCCCACATGGCACCGCTGCCTCATCACCGGGGGTTTAAACTCCATATTATGGCCCTGCAGCCCCTGCAGCCTGTGCCAGCCTCCCCCCCCCCCCCCCCCCCCCCGCATATCCACACAGCCAAGTGCCAGCCCCTATGTTTGTCAGGCCAATCTTAGTGCCCAGTACAGTACAGGCAGGCAGAAGAGGCTTTCCCTTAAGCTGGCGCCCTTTGTCGGACACATGAAGATAAGGGACCTGCTCTGAATTACACTGTGTGGCACAACAGTGGCAGCCCACCAGTCCCCCCAGGGCCCCAGCTTCTCCTCAGGCACACACGCCCCCTCGCCCTCCTTCCGGGTCAGGGCTGAGGTCCAAACAGCCTCCCCTGGTCTCTGCGCCAGGCTAGGCGGGCTAGAGAGGGCTTACCCATCCCCCAGATGAGGACGCGCAGGCACAGCGGGTGAAGTGACTTGGCTTAGATTACAGTCAGCTCCCTCCCCTGCGTGAGATTCTGGCTTCCCACCGCAGAAGGAAGGGAGATCCCGCCCCTCCCCGCAGCCCCTTCCTCCTGCTCTTCCCTGGACTGAGCCCGCGCTGGGAGCGCCAAACACAGCCCTCTGTGACGCGCAGTCCCTTGCGGCAGGGGCCTCAGTTTTCCTAGAAGTGGTGCCCCCCACCCCTTGGTCCCCTCCGCCGCGCCGGCCTCTCCATCGGAGAATCGGGCCGGGAACTGGAGGTGGGGAGGACCGGCCGGCGCGCGAAGCGGTGAGGACGGCCACCCGGGGATGGAGATCACTTACTGTGTCGGCCCGGAGACTGCAGTCCCGGCCAAGACCCGCGCTGCCTAAAAAGCATGTAGACCCGCCCCCTGGCCGCCCGCAGCTCCTCCCACCAGGGCCTGAGACAACCGCGGAAAACCCGCGGCGGAGGCCCAAGCGAGCGCCGCCCGGCTGCCTGTGCCGCTGAACCCCAGGTCGTGCGGTGGCACCCCACGGCGGCGCTGGCCAACCCCTTCAGGGAAGTGCGGGGGGGGGAGGCACTATCTCCCACCGGCCAGGGCGCGACTGCCAGAGCCTCGCCCGGGGTATTTGGGCACGGGGACCCTTACCCAAGGCGTAGCGGGATCCATCTGGAGCTGACCCATTGTCAAACGACGGCTTCTGATTGGCTAACTGGAAGCTCAAGACCCCGTTTTTTTCGTCACAGAGCCAGCACCCACCCCAGTTCTGATTGCCCCCCCCCCGTGGGGTGCCCGGACAGTTTCACCCTAATTCTCTGGGCCACATAAGAATCGCCCCTCTGAGGAGAGCAGTTCCCACTCTGGGTATCACTGTGGCCGCATAGAAACCCTTCCTGGAGGAGGTGTCCTAAGGGAAAGGCACTGTAGGGCTGGTCAGCTATTGACAAAGCCCTTTGCTGGGCCCCTTCATACGCTCTCATTATCAAGCCTTGCTTAGAATGGGGAAATGCCAGAGATCATGCAGGAAGCAATGGCAGAGTCGGGATTCGAACCCAGGCCTGGAGAACTCCTACTGAAGCGCTTTCCTTCCTGGAACCCCGTCTGGGCCAGGATAGGCTCCTGGAGGCACAGAGCCAGGATCCCCAACAGCTCCAGCTTAGCTCATCACTCAGTCTGGCTTTGTCCTCACTTGGTGAGCAGGTCACACCCCTACCTGCGCCTCAGTTTCCCCCTCTAAGCCCTGTTTCTCAGGGTCTGGGGAAAAGCACCCATCCACAGCTCACCCCCTTGGCTATTTCACATCCCAGGCATTCCTCAGGAATTTCCCTATGGAGCGCCAGTTTCCCTTTCTCTTTTTGCTGGAGCCTCTTCCTCCCTTTTGTTTGCTCCTGCCCCACCCCCAGCTGATTGCCTACCACCCCTCAGAAGCCATCCTACAGAGCCCCATCCTGGTCAGCAGGGGCAGGAATGACACTTTGCAGGGCAAGGACTGGGTGGCCTACCTCGTCCACCCCACTGCCCAGGCCCCCTGGGCCCCTCATTATGGCTTCACCCCTATGGGCCTGGAGGGATGGCAGGGTGGGCAAGGGTAGTGAGCTGGGTTTCCCCCTTGTTACAGAGAACTTCCTCTTCCTCCTTGGGACTAGTGGTCAGGTGCCAGGTTTGGGTTTGGACATTTGATCCTGTCCCTGAGGGGATTGTGGGGAGGGTGAGGGGTGTTCCAGGGGACAGTAAGATGGATCCCATCTTTTTTGTCCCTGAGGCCTGGGGGAATGGCATTTTTCAATGAGCCAACCTGGGGCTGGGGTGGGGGTGGGGGCTGGGAGGATGATTCCCTCTGCTCTACCGAGAAATGGGGAGACTAAGGCCGGCCTCCGCCAGTTCAGCCAGCCAACCAGAGGCGGTGCAACAAATCAAGGGGGTCCTGGCCCAGCTGCCTGCTGGGCCTCATTGTGCAAAAGCTGCTTCCCTGTCAGGCCTCCACTCTCCATTCCAAACAGATTGGGAAGCTTTCTGAAGCTTTCTGGGTCATGAGGGAGGCGGAGGCTTCCAGCCCTCAGAAACCATCCTACAGAGCCCCATCCTGGTCAGCAGGGGCAGGAATGACACTTTGCAGGGCAAGGACTGGGTGGCCGACCTCGTCCACCCCACTGCCCAGGCCCCCTGGGCCCCTCATTATGGCTTCACCTGAGCAGTGGCCAGGGCTGGGGTGGGAAAAGCTACTTTGCCCTTATGTGTTGCACCAGTCATTTCCCGAAGGTCAAGGGCATATATGTGCAGCCCCCAACACAAGGGAATCCTCTGAAAATGGGGCTGCAGAGAGGGCCATGGCATGACAGCTGGAGGGTGTGTGTGTGTGTGTGTGTGTGTGTGTGTGTGTGTGTGTGTGGAGAGGTAGGGCTGACAGGGCAGGAGCTATTCTTACCCCTCTGACATATGAGAAAACTATCCCCAAAAGGCAAGACACTTTCAGGAAGAGCCAACCACAGGCCAGCCAAGAATGCCACCCTCAGCAGGAAAGGAGCATCAGATATTGGGCAGGAGTGCTCCTGGCCAGCTGATGTCCCATTCTGCACAGGGCAGCCAGCTGGCTCCACCTGGCAGGCAGGGCAGCAGGCAGGGGCAGACTGGCGATAGGCCTACAGGCAAACCAGAGGTCAAGTGTGGCAGCACCTGGCCAGGAGTTGTGGTCAGCTTCCTGCATGCAGGACAGAGCCTTGGCCCACACACAGGGGCCACACCGATGTGACTCTGTTTCCCTTGCCTCTGCTAAGATGTGACAGCTGACTTTTTAAAAAACTGTGGTCAAGCCCTGGACGGTTTGGCTCAGCGGTTAGAGCGTCGGCCTGCGGTCTGGAGAGACCCGGGTTCAGTTCCCGCTAAGGGCACGTACCTCGGTTGCAGTTTGTCCCCGGCCCTGGTTGGTCGTGCGGGTGGCAGCCACTCGATGTGTTCCTTTCACATCGATGTTTCTCTCTCTCTCTCTGTTCCTCTCTCTCCCTCCCACTCTATCTGAACAAAAAATGGAAAAATGTCCTCGGGTGAGGATAAAAAACAAACAAACAAACAAACAAACAAACAAAAACTGTGGTCAAGCCTGAATAACTGAATAACCAGACTGTTTTGATCATTAAAGCCTACAGCTCAGGGGCACTGAGAGCTTCCACATTGCTGAGCCGTCCCCACCATCATTTCCAGAACTTTTCTGTTGTTGTTAATCCACACCTGAGGATATTTTCCCCACTGGTTCTTAGAGAGAGTAAAAGGGAGGGTGGGGGAGAGGGAGAGACATTGATGTAAGAGACATACATCAATTGCACATCCATTGACCAGGGCCAAGGATCAAACCTGTAACCCAGGTACGAGCCCTTGACTCGGAATCGAACTCATGACCCTTTGGTGTGTGGGCCGACGCGCTAGCTGTTGAGCAACACTGCCAGGGGGCCAGAACTTTGTTCCCCTTGCAAAACTGAAACTAATTAAACACTGACTCCCCGCGCCTCTCTCCACCCAGCCCCTTTGTTTCTACACATTTGCCTCTCCTAAGTACCTCACAGAAGAGGAATCATACAGTATTTATGCTTCTGTGACTGGCCTATTTCTCTTAGCCTAGTGTCTCCAAGTTTCATCCATGCTGTAACGTGTGTCAGATTTTCCTTTCTTTATAAGACTGAATAATATTCCGTCGTTTATCCCTTTGCCCAGCAATGGACACTTGGGCTGCTGCCACCTCTTGGCCGCTGTGCACATGGGAGTGAAGATACCTCTTTCGACCCTACTTCCAGGTGGGTGACATATGCGGACCCGCACGGGCCAGGCTCTCTGTTCTGAGCACCTTGAATGCATCAACGGTCTCACCAGACAATCTTATGAAATGGATACTCCCTAATTACCGCCTTTGCACAGATAAGGAAACGGAGGCACAGATAGGCCCTGTCCAGGGCCAGTGAGTGGTGGAGCTGGGAGCTCCGCTAAACATTGCTTTGCCTCAGTGTTGACGAATATGGAAATGCGGAAATGGATGGTTGCTGCCCTCTACTTTGTTTTCATCTTTGGGGAAAAAAAAAAAGATGTTTCAATGTTGCATAACCTTGTTCATGAACAGAATCTTCACCCTTGTCCTCTGGGGCAGCCCAAACACATGGTGTGTGATGACCAGTCCTTCCTCCATGCCACGTTGGGACTGTCCCAGAACTCTTCCGGGAGAAGCTCCTGGAAAGGGGAATGGAAGGTAGAAGGGACACAGGCAGGTGCAGGGGCAGCAGGCGTCGGGCCTGGCTGCACCAAGAGGACCTGGCCAGTGGCCTTGGTCATAGGGTGGTGCTGATCATGGGGTAACCTCCCCAATATCAGGAAACCAGGGCACTCTTGGATGTCACCCAGTTCCTTCCCATAGCCCTGAGCCCACTTCCCTCTGTGAGATGACTTGCAGTTCCTACTGCCTGGCTCTTCAGTTCTGCTTCTCCCTTTATTTCTCAGGCATTGCCTGACCTGGGGCCTCTTGTTCCCTAGGGCAGAGCCATTGTATTTCTTGTTGACAGAAGAGGAAACTAAGTCTCAGAAGGGTAAGTGAGCTCACAGGTGGAGGCCTGGAGGCTGGGGTCCCTGCTGCCACTGGACCTCCCCTGAGAGAAGTCACTTGTCCAGGATCATTTGCAGCTGCACCAGACCTGGGCCAGGGTCAGCTGATCTCCCTGGGACCACAGGATGGCCAGGACAGCTGACCAGGAACCACCCTCCAGGGCTCCCTCTCTCACGACACGCGCCTCCACACGAAGATATTTACTTGGTAACAGCCCTTCCCCCTCTTCCCAGGAGGAAGCCAGGCCACACACTTCCTTTTTCATCTGGCAGATGGGAAAACTGAGGCCTAAGGGGAAATGGCTTCTGCAGGATCCATGGAGCAGCAGGACCCCGATACTGGTGGCCTTCCAAGGAGTGCGATGGAGGAGGAACCAGGCTTCCAGGGTCTCAGAGACTCTCCATGCCAGCCCCAGTGGCCTCTCTCCTAAAAGGGCCTGGCCTTTCACAACGGCTTTTGGTGGTTATGCAAAGTGACCAAGTTCAACTACTGTACCTTCAGGCCTGGTACTGCCTTTGGGCCCTTCCCCTAACCGGCATGATTTCCAGGAAAACAGCTGCGAAGTCTTGCTTTCCACTGGGTGCCGCCCAATGACAGAGGCAGAAACCTCTTGGAATCCCAGTGCCGAGTGGGGCTGGGCCAGAGTGGGGAGGCTGGGAGGCTGCCCAAACCACCAAAGAGCCTGCCCTTTCCTGGAGCCGGGGTGCTGGACTCTCCCTTATCTGACATCCATGAGCT